AGCCTGGAAAGACTATAGAACATCCTACATTCACCACTTTCTCTGGTTCTAGATTCCTCCACCAGAGCTGCCAGGAGAGGACCGTGGACACCCCCCAAAACCAGGCTTTCTGCAGCATTAGTGTCCGGTAGCCTCGGATCCTACAGCATCCACAGAAACCCCAACACATACGCCTACACAGGCACACACACACACACACACACACACACGCACATACACAAGACATGGCAACACCACAGGTGAAAAGAAAATCCATTCTGTGCAAGATTTTCCCATTCTGTAAACTAATCCCAGGTTTTCTATTAGGCCTTTAAAATACTCTGTAAGGAATTATCCCACCTTCTATTATAGGAAAGGAACAAATGCAAAGACAAATATGGTCCCCTCTCCTCCCCTTTTTTTTTTTTTAGTAACTGCACGTATAAAACCTCTGCCTCTTCAATCAAGTTAGTACTGAGATTCTATTTCAGCACCCTCTGGGATGACAAGATTCCAAATGTGCAATAAAAATAAATCTCCATTAATAGCTGGGTCTTTAGCAGCTGAGAGAGTCCCTGGTCCCTTTCATTTACTCACCCAGCTTGAGGGGGAGTTCTACTTTGGGCACAGCTGTGAATAGGTCCATTACTAATCGGGATGCTTCAAAAAGGGATCAGTTCAAAGCACTAGGTTTCAGTGATTTTTTTTTTTGACCCTTTATAAATTGAAGTCGTTCTCCTGAGTGAATTGTTCATACTGTTCAAAACTGACCCACTATCACTTCTCGGCCTTTTGGCTAAGATCAAGTGCAAAACTGACTCTGTTTTTTTTTTTTTAATTAATTAATTTAAAAGTCTTGTATAGTTAACAGACAAAACTCCTTCAGGAAGAGGAACAACTGTTACACAATCCTGAAATTATGCACATCCATTAATGTCGCCTTATTCTAGGATCACGTTAATTCAGCAATATGAAGGTTACCTGGTGAGCACACACCCTAGATACACTATAGTGTCAATGCTATGCTGGGGAGGAGTGCCTGGGTGGCTCCGTCTGTTAAGCATCTGACTCTTGATGTCAGTTCAGGTCATGATCTCAGGGGTCATCAGATCGAGCCCATGTCCAGGTCCATGCTAGGTGTGGGGCCTGCTTGAGACTCTCTCCCTATCCCTCTGCCCTTCCCCACTCAGCTCACGTGGCATGTTCTCTCCTTCTCTCTCTCTCTCTCCCTCTCTCTCTCTCTCTCTCTCTCTCTCTCTCTTTCTGTCACCAAAAGAAAAAGATTACCTAGGGCTGGTGGGGAAGTATGGGGAGGAAATGGGGAAATGGAAAGTGACCTGCTGACGGGCAGGGGGTTTCTTTTCCAAGGAATGAAAACATTCTAAAATTAAAGGTGGTGGTGGCTGCAAACCCCCTGAATACACTAAAACCCACTGAATTTTATCCTTTAACTGTGTGAATCATTCAGTGTATGAGATCTCAATAATCTCTAATAAAAAACATATCAGCAAGGACTTTCAGCCATGAAAAGAGGTTAAGTTTTAGGACAGAGTTTGAGAGCAGTATGATTCTGAAATCTCAAGAAAAAACTGTGAAGTCAGTCCAATTATAGTCTCCTTGTTATAATGTATCAAAAGAAATATGAAGAAAATATGAAAATAAGATTAAAAATATGAATTATAAGACATCCTTGACATCCTCTTTTTATATTACTAGCAAGCCAGAAAACACATATTGGTGGCATATGTGGTAACTTGCATTTTAACAATGAAATCTCTGTCACATTTAAAAGTGGTGGCAGGATTTTAGAGCTGAGGCTCTAGTGCTTGTCCATTCCAGCTCCCAAATTTTACAAAAGTAGACTTCTCTAACATTTTCCATTCCAGTTCACATTTCTTCCCCACCAGTACACAAACAGTAGTTTCTATTTCATGCAGTTTAATAAACTGCCTTCTGGAACATAGGTTTCAGGACCCCAAGAATGTAGTTGTTTTTGTTTTTTGGGGGGTTTTTTTTTAGATTAATTTTAGAGAGAAAGAGTGTGTGTGAATGAGGGAAGGGATAGAGGGAGAGAGAGAATCTCCAGCAGACTCCCCCCTGAGCTGGAGCCCAATGCAGTGCTGGATCCCACAACCCTGAGATCATGACCCAAGCCAAAACCAACAGTTAGACACCCAACTGACTGAGCCACCCAGGTGCCCCTAGAATTTTTTTTATCTTAAATTTCTTCACTGTCTTCTTCTCACACTTGACTAGAGCCTTTATTGCAATGGTTTCCTTTGTAATATAAATGTATCATAAACCATCCACTGTTCAAATTTTTCCTTTTAACACCTTGTCTGGACAGTTATACAGAGCTAAAAGAATCAAGTAGCCATCTAAATACTCTTCATAATCACCATCAATTTTTAGTAGTTTCTGAGTAGTACTTTTTAAATCTGAGCTCCAATTTGGGCTGTCTGCTCTTGAGTTCAGAATCAAATATTTCCCAGCATTTGGTTCTCTCAAATCCTGAAAAGGAGAGGAAAAGTCTGCCATTTTACCTTCCAGATTTCAAAGAAGCAATTACTAAAAAAAAAAAAAAAAAAAAAAAGAAGGAAGGAAGGAAGAAAAGAAAGAAAGAAAGGAAGGAAGAAAGAAAAAGAAAGAAAGAAAAGAAAAGAAAAGAAAAGAAAAGAAAAGAAAAGAAAGAAAAAAGAAAAGAAAAAAATTCATAAATATTTTTAAAGACATGGGTATTTTTCCCTTTCCATTTTTCACCTTGTCAAATTTCTGAGGTTTTCACATTGACTCTTTCTTCTTCAGTGGAGAGTAATCTTCCTGTGACACATATAAAAGTTTATATATTAATTCACATGATGTCATGCAATGGGCCGGAATCACTTAAAGTACAAACATCCTCCAAGAGTGAGCCATGCATCACCAACAGACTCTGTAACTATGAGAATAATAAACGTACCACAAATGGGACCTGTGCTTCACAAAATCCATTCAAATGATGGAAATAAAATTCTAGTCTTCTAAAGAGCTAATAGGAAAAAATAATCTGTAGATATTTCCTTACCTATATTTTCCTCCTCAAATTATCCCACTCTTACTTCAACAGCCTCCTGGCCAGCCTCCCTCCCCCACCCCCACTTTTAAGACATCTGGCTTAATATTAAAATAACTAATTTTACAAACACACCACTTTTCATAGATTCACCCTTATGCCTCAAAGCTTCCAGAAGCCCTGGTTACATCTAAACTCCTCTGTCCAGCTTTTAGGGTCTCCCATATTGACATACCACCCAATCTTTCCAAAAATATTTTGTGTTCCCCCAAACATGGGTCCTCTTCCACTCAAATAGGGGTTCCACATTTCATCAAACAGGAAATTCAGAAGAAGAATAAGGCTCAGGGAATAAAAGCAATCCCTATTATTTATAAAACACACACTGTGTGCTATGAGCTATGTAAAGCACTTCACGTTGCTATCTCATTTTATCCCCACCTAAATCCTGTGTGATAGATTTTCTGATTCCACAGAATGAAAATTGAGCCACAGAAAGATTAAATATCTTCTTCAAGTTCTCTAAACTACTGCATGGCAGAGGCAGCAACCCTCCTGCATCCTACTCCAATGCTCAAATCCTTGCCCAGATGTTGAGTTTCCCTTACAGTAAAGATGTTCACGAGGCAGCTGGATATGCAAACCTGAAGTCCAGGGGGAGAAACCAGAGCTATGTTTTGTAGTCACTGGCTTGTAGTTAGCTTTCCCTATATCTGTGAATGAGATTGTCCAAGGAGAAGGTGTGTAAGGAGATGAGAAGAAACCAAGAACAGAAGTCTGGCCAATGCCACCACTCAAGGGGTAGACCGAGGAAGAGACCTCAAAAAAGAGTGAGAAGATAAAAGGAGAACCAGGAGATTTACCCACACAAGTCAAAGAAGAGCCTGCAAGTCACAATAAACGAATGTGATCAACTGCATAATGCACATGTAAATAAATAAGGTCGAGTATGATCAGGATTGAAAATTGCTCAGTGGAATTGGTGGTTAAGAGCCAGGGTGACTCAGAACTTACCACCCAAACCAGGACAGTTTTGAGAGTGAAAGGGGGCTCTATTAACCAATACCCAAGGAGCACCGAATACGGCCCCAGCACAACCCCAGGACACAGGGTCACCCTATGGGATCACAAGTGTTCTTCATGGGAGCAGTTTCAACAGCATGATGCCATGGAAGCCACATTGCTGTGACTTCAGAATGAGTGTGATGAAGAGGTAGAGAGAGATTCATCTTTCCAGAACCTTGGTTGGATGAGTTAGAAAAGGCTAGTGTTTGAGGTGCATCGGCCCTCCGCTTACTCCTTATTCCTTGGCCTGGCTCCTTCCTCTCAGTTCTGCTGAACCTCCCACCACACATGTCACAGGGATCTCCAACCAGGGCAGGAGTGACTTTTATGAAGACCTCTGTCTTCCGCATCCACTTCCGCAGCCCCGACACTGCCTTCTGCCCCCAGCCCCTGCAACTCTCTTCCCATGATTTCTATGGCACTGAATCTCATCGACTGTCTCTATTCCTCTGACTGCTCTTCTGTTCTGTCTACCTCCTCTAATCTTAAAAATGTGGATATGGGGGATCCCTGGGTGGCGCAGCAGTTTGGCGCCTGCCTTTGACCCAGGGCGCGATCCTGGAGACCCGGGATCGAATCCCACATCGGGCTTCCGGTGCATGGAACCTGCTTTCCCTCTGCCTGTGTCTCTGCCTCTCTCTCTCTCTCTCTCTCTCTCTCTCTCTCTCTCTCTCTCTCTCTGTGACTATCATAAATAAATAAAAAAAAATGTGGATATGTCCTAGGGTTCTTCCCCGGGACACCTTCTTTCCTCTGTCTATTCCCTCTCCTTCGGTGGTCTCATCCACAGTCACCACTTCCACTTTCACCGGTCATGCAGATGATTCCAAAAACTCTTCCTTTGTCCTCAAACTCTCCCCTGAAATGCAGGACGTCGTTTCAAACTAACGACTATACACCTCTCTCCTGGTGGCTGGTCCACAACATCTCACTAGACCTGTCAAAAGCACACTTTACCTTTTGCTTAAATTGGCAGCTCAGATATTTTCTAATCAAGGACACCCTAATACAACTAAAGTCTGTCTGTTAAGATTTTACTTCTTTCACGTGTGCAGTAAGCGTTGAACACAAAGTCTAATGTTCTCTGAACATTAGTTACCTTGGAACCCGCTCTTAAGAGAGCTTGGGGTTATAATTTTAACGAGTGTTACTGCTTCTTCTAGAAGCCTCTCTTCATCAACACTTGCTAGAATCTAGGCCAATCAGGCCCCACTTCTCCACAGAGGTATCCTTATCGGATATATCTTCCTCCATTCTTTAAGCTCAAACTTCACTTTGCATTTCTCTTAAGGTACTTGTCGTATTTTGTCTTGATTATCATATATATGCATCTTATCCCCTCCTACTACACTGGAAACTTCTTAAAAAGAGGGTATGTCTCCTTTTTTTCCCCCCGAACACAGGCAGCAACCTCTTTGAACTTGGCTGCGGCAACTTCTTACTAGACACGTCTCCAAAGGCAAGGGAAATAAAAGCAAAAAAGAACTACTGGGACTTCATCAAGATAGAAAACTTTTCCACAGCAAAGGAAACAGTCAACAAAACTAAGAGGGTATGTTTCTTAATATATATATATATATATATATCATATTTATTATTTAGAATGGATAGTTATCATTTAGATAACAGATGCATTTGACTCCTTTTCACTTCATACTTGAAAAATCTATTATCACTCTCAAATACAAAAGAAAAACTAACAATTGTTCCAGTTTTAATATGTTAAACATCTCCAGTGATCATTATTTTTATAATATAACTATGTGGCTTATAGAGAGACCATGTGAGAGAATAGTTTATCAAGTGGGTCCATTTTTAGACACATCCAATTAATATACTCATGTAAAGGTGTATATTGAGGCCACCAGATTTGTATAACATAAGTGAGCTCCAAAGTAAAGCCTTTGATTCCTATTGTCAAAGCCTAGAATTATGAATTAATATGATTGATTATAAAACGCAGTGATTTGAAGTGGAAGTTCTTAGTCACCCATTAGTTAAAGGAGCCAATTCCTGCAAAACCTATTTTTGGCACTTCAGTGTGTACGTCACCCAGTACTCTGTCTACCGGAACCGTACCTTGAAATACGGCTTAATGCCAGATGGTCTCCTCAATAAAAAAACAGCAGGTGGCAACATATTAATGTTACTCAACAAGCAAGTCTGCAGACACTCAACCAATGAAATCAGTCTTCAGTGGCTAAGCCCTTCTGTCACCATGGCAACGCCTGCTTCATTAAAAATATCGGATTTTCCAATGAAATGAGCCACCCATTCTTAGAACTCCAGTATGTTTCAAGCTACAATGATCAGATGCACTAAAGTGACCTACTAGGCCTTCGAGTCGCCTCGCATCAGGTCTACCAGCAAAAAGTCATTCGCCCTTCTATTTTAAAATACTGATCTATACTCCGTTTCTAACGCCCTTGATCTCCTAGATAAACACACTCCATTGAAAGGTGTGTGTAAATGTGTCCGTGCCTACACTTGGAGGCTAGCAGTCCTAAATATAATGACAAGTGTTCATGTCTTAGGAGATTTTCACTGGTACATACTCCTCTTAGGAGTCTGTGGTTAATATTATGTCTGATTAAAGAGATTAGTCAAGGAAATAAATGTAGAGAAGACCAGAATGATATTCTTATATGGTTAAAATTACAGTTAAATCTTATTTTTTAATATAGCTCCATTTTTAAGTTGAAATGATAATCTGCCCCAAGGCACATGATCTTGTTTTACCTGATGAAAATGCAGAGAACCTAATGGTTGGAAATAAAGGGTAAAATAAAGATCCGGTGGCGGGGTAGCAAGGAGACTTTGGAGGCAGGGAGAGGGGGTGTTGAAGAACATGGCAGCAGCTTCCGCTCCACTGACATGAGAGAATTTCTCCGAAAAGAAAAGAGAGAGAGGCAAGAAGAGAGGAACTGGTCCCAGAAGAAAGGAAGGGGATGAAGCAAACTGGTGTCTTAACGTATTGATTTTGTGAATTTGTTTAACAACGTAGCAGGATCTGCGGGTATATTCTTTTTTTTTTTTTTTTTTTTTTTTTTTTTGCGGGTATATTCTAATCTTGATTTCGCCACTCACCAGCCTGGGATGTTAAATGTCACCTCTCTGTGCATCTGTTTCCGAGTCTGTAGAACAGGGATAATAATAGCACCAATCCCACAGAGGTTCAGGATTAGGGGAGTTAAGCCTCTAAACATCGTTGGGCACATTCTAAGCATTACAGGAGTATGAGCAAAAATAGAAAATAAACTCCTGTTCTTTTCACACCATTTCAATATTTTCGCTTACATGTTCTATTTCATCCTACCTTCTTTATGCCATTTAGTGGTTGTCTTTTTTTTATTATTTTCGACTTTGCTTCCTTTTCTTCTTTTATTTTAAATGCTATGTCTCCGTCTGTCTTAACCTTTCCAACCCTCTTTGCCATCTTATCTGACACGTGGAACATTCGATGGCTCACTTTCCCCAAGCGACCTCACAGCCAGGCTGCAGAGGCCGCGGCAGTGAGACCCCCCCACTGTAAACCACCATAAGGCTGACCCCAGCTAACAGGTTCCCAGCCCAGTTAAAGATGACTCCAGAAACTAAGTCAGACACAGGATGTACTCTGTCTCCCAGGACCCAAAACCTGAGTATAAAGGACACATTTGATTAACTAAGAAAGGGGCGCTTGGGTGGCAGCTAAAGGTCTGCTGCGGCTCAGGTCATGGTCTGGGGTCCTGGGGCTGAGCCTCGCATCAGGCTCCCTGCTGGGGGAACCCCACTTCTCCCTCCCCCTCCCCTGCAGCTCCCCCTGCTTGTGCTTGCTCTCTCCCTCTGTAAAAAAAAATAAAATCTTTAAAAAAAATAACTACTTTTTCCTGAAAACTCTACTAAATTTAAAATTTCAACCTACAGAAACATATAAACATACACAATTTTCTTTCCTTTGAAGGGAGGAGAAGAGAGAGGGCAAACTGAACCTTGGTGGGGTGGGGCGGTGGGGAACTCCTTTTTATGAACCAAAAAAAAAAAAAAAAAACGCTCTTCCTTTTTTTGAGAAGAAAATATTTGTAATGGTCTTAGAATAACTGACTGAGCGGGTGCCTGGGTCACCTGGTCAGTCAAGTGTCTGACTTCAGTTCGGGCCCTGATCTCAGGTCCTGGGATCGAGTCCCACGCTGGGCTCTACGCTCAGCGGGGAGCCTGCTGCTTCCTCTCCCTCCCTCCCTCCATCTTGTTCTCTCTCTCTCAAATAAATAAAATCTTAAAAGAGAAAAAAAGGAAGAAGAAAAACTAACCGGATAAAATGTCAACCCAGTTATTTCCTTAAAACAAGGGATGACTCTTCTTTTTATTAGAATTAGCCCCATCCCTAAGCCATACCTGCAAGAAGGGGTTGTCACCAACCCTTCACTGTAATGTTTTTGAGCCAATCTGCTTCGGAAGCACTTTCGTCATCAACGGGCCTAGTAGGTGCCCAGTTAGCATTCTCTGAAAAATGCCTGTCTGCCTGCACAGCAGGTGGAATTTAGTCCACACTCTCTTCATTCTAATCCATTGTTATAGAGGAACTTGGAAAAGGACCCTAGAAAGTCACTTTTTTATTAGTTTGGCAAAGAAAGAGCTGCTAACGAAACTGCCCAAGCAAATGATTGCGGGTATTATTAACCGACCTGGGACACACGGAACCGCCTCCTGCCCCTTCTTCCTGGCCTGGTGCCCACTGGGCTCTGGGCTCCCACTCGCATCGACACCCGGGGACCACACATGGGGATCGGATGGGGAAGTACAGCACAGGTCCGAATAAATCACACCAAATACTTTCACCGGAACCAATACGATGAGCAAAAGGGAAATATTTACCCTGAATTAACTACAAAATTATCTCAAGTCTTCTCGTTGCATTGTTAGCCCATTTCCTGTTCGTGAGAACACACCCTCTCACTCAAGCATTGTCCTGAAGATTCTGGTATTTTTATTGCTTGTCCAAACGCTGCCTGTAAATTACCAACAGAATCTATCACCTAATCATCTTGGTAGAGTCTCACAAATGGCAAAAAACAACACCAGAAGTTTCACCCATATAGATTTCATATACGTTCTTAACTCCTTAAAACAATGCATGCCATTATTTTCTGTACAATAATTTAAGGGGGCACTTTTTTCCAGGTATAGTTCCTATGCATGTTTATTCTTTTAAGATAGCTTATTTATTAGATACGCAATATAATACCAATAATTCTTCTACCATTGTAATGTTTTATAAAACATTCACAAATATAAAGTTCTTTCTTTAAGAATTGTGCACTTTATTAAAGTGCACAATTCTGTGGTTTTTAGTATATTCACAAGACTGTGCAACCAGAAATAAAGGTCTTTAAGAAACTGGCTTGAAAAAAATTCTCAAAAAATAGGTACTCTTCTTTAGCACAGGTAACTTTTTTCACATCAAAATTTAATGTAGACACATGAACAGGCCAACCCAAGTACTATTTTTAGAAGGAAACCTCACCCAGTATTACTTACTTATATTCTGTACACGTAACCTTCAACGACACATGATTCATTCTGCATGGGGCGCACAAACCTATCCTCTCGAGCACCCTCCCCCAGTGTTTACCTTCTCCAGGGACTAGGATTCCAATTTAGAAAACACAACTCAGGAATCTAAAACTTTACTATAAATGGTCAGTGAGATGAGAGATGTCTGGATTACATCCCCCCCAAAACCCCTGCCTTTACGTATTCCAGGAAGCACTGTGCATATCTGACCTTTGTTAATAAATTCTCCTAAGTGTATTTGAACATCTATCTAACTGCCCTTCCTTGGACAATCTCTGGTTTTGCCAGTGCTCATCTTGAAGCAAGACTAAGTACCTCAGCTCATTTCCCAAAGTAATGTACTCCACAGCATCGCAGAGCAGAGTGGATGACTTCCCCATTCGACATTTCTGTCCTCCCCAAGGTTTCTCTTAAGCCACCAGCCACTAAGTCTTTCTCTCCCTCTCTGACTGTCACACAGTCCCTGAAACTGTGCCCCTCCTTCTTATTCAGTTTAGCCCATTCCTCAGCACTGAAGGCCCAGGCCTCAAAAGAGTTCATCAGAGCAGTCTTTCAACAAAAACCTATTTCTTCCTAGAGAGTGGATTCTAGTGCCCCCTAAAATTAACATTTTCTATATATACTTAGAGTATGCTAAAGTGACCTATTTCAGTCCTTTCCTGATTTTGCCACTTAACACACACTCTCTGGCCACCCCAGGCCCTGTCCATCCACCCAGGTGCACCCACACCCATTTACAGCACACAGGGCAGGAAATTCTGCTCTAAGGAATTGAAAACGCTGAAAAATTATGTTCCTGTAAACTCCTTTCTGGACGGCATCCCATGCAGTTAGCTCATGACCCTCAACAGCCACATAAAGAATAGTTATGCTGCTTCCCCTTTCTGTATACATTGCGATGGGAAATACTCTAGAAAGAAGGTTCAACTGTCTATGAGGAAATGGGTTCTAGGCCTCCTAGGCTACACAAGGAGCCCAATGCAATCATCTATAAAATGAGAGTGTTCCTTCCAGATCGAAGGAAAAAATTATATGATTCCATTTCACAATTCTATGTAACACTAATAAAGATTGGGTTTAACAGTAGGAGCAATTTAAAATAATTTTACTCTAATCAAAAACCTATAATTTGAAAAAATTAAATACTAAATATTTCTGCACAGTGAATTTCTCTCCCAAAAGCATCCGACAAACTACATGATCATTATTCAAATGCTACACAAATGCATCTGGATGAAAGTTCTGGAATGTCTGCCAATGAATGGAGAAAAGCTACGGGCTGACTTCTCTTTCAGTATCAAACAACATCATTTTTCTGGTGTTGGTTTTCATTTTGTTATTAAGGACAGTTTTTGAAATGTATAGTCAAATATAATTGAGCAATGTCTAACTGCGGGAGATTAGTCAAACTAAATCAAAATTACTTAACATCTTTTTACTCCATAACTTTTAAAGAGTGTCCAGTAATAGCTACATAGAAGTGAAATCATACTGGTAATCAACTGCTTATTACAATATAATATATATTATATGCTTAATATAATTGTATGATATCTAATCTAACTGCATCATTTTATATGCTTAATTTATACATATACACATAATATATATAAATGTATACATGTTACATGATATGTAGGTTGTATTATAGACACACACATTATGTTATTATACCGAATGTTAACATAATCTCCATCCCAACTAGTTTTGTCCTCCTGAGGAGGGAAATCGACTTCAAGGGACAACACCCTAAACATTATATTCTAACAAAGTGGAAATTTCACGTGTCGATGGAATGCAATTAACTGTCACAGCAGTTACTGAATACTTACCCATCACCACTCACAGGGGCAGTGGAGGAAAAGACACAAGACTCATCTAATACTGGCACAGAATGAATTCCTCTCTCCTACTTTCCAGATTCGATTCACTGGAAGACCTGCTCAAGTCCCCCTCCTTCTGAAAGCCCTTCGGGATTGCCTCTCTCAACTCCTCGTAGAATCTGAGTCAATACCTTCACATTAGGTACTTGGTAAAACACTGCTGTGCATTGCTCCCTTCTGCAAGAATCTCAGTCACAGAGCAAGTACTTGGTTATTATTGTTAAATAGCTACTTTAGAGATTTTAAAATGTGATAAAATACAACGGTAACAAAAGAGGCACTTCATTTACTGACCTCTACTACCCGGAGTCTGACTTCCAATCGGGAAGTGGTTTAAAAGCACTTGTATTTGGCATTTCTGAATGCCTAGTGAATGAATGTCTTTGGTTGTCCAATTAGGGTGATTTATACCTGCGAGTCGTTAGTAGGGCCTTTTTGATAATAAAGTGATCTTGTTACCGCGGTCTGGGAACTGAGATCATGGAAAATGTGGTATGGTTTATAACTGCGAGCCTTCTTGGCCTCACGGCAATGTTGGCAGAGGTATAAATGCTTTGCTTATGCTACTCTCTTTATGGAGTCCATAAATACATTAACTCTACTTACTCTATGAGTTCTGGGGAAATACCAGACAGTCTCACCCTTCTGTACATTCATTTAAGAAACACACTCTCATTCATCCCCTCTCCCTGCACACCCAGGTCACTGAATTACAGCAATCAATGGCTCAGCTTCAATGTTAAAATAACAACAGCACCAATGATAAGAGTTTTAAAACTACTCAGGGAAAAAAAAAAATGCTTCATGCTCCTGAAAGTTATATGTAATTTTTTAAGATACAGTTTGTGTCAACTGAAGTAGAGTCAAAAGAGAAGAAAAAATGTTTATTAGAATAAGTACCCCCAACTCCCACCTACCCATCAATCTGACTCAACAATAAACCATACCCAGAAGTCTAAAAATAATAAGAAAAAGGTCTCAGAAATAGTAAAAATAATTGACACATAGTTCATGGTTTTTATTGCTAGTGCAAGGCTTAGAGTTGTCCTCAATAAACAGACCACCAATGCAGACACGGGCCTGAAGCTGCTACACTCTTTTAGTGGAAGTTCTCCAGTTCCATCCACAGGGACCAGTGGAGAGAAAATTAGATGTTGCCATGGATTTGAGAGGTACAGAAGGATCGTGTAGCACTCACACGTACACAAACATGAAACTCTTTTCATCCCAGACACTACAGTGGATGGTGGAAGACGGAAATCAGCCGAACACCAGTTAAGCATATTGGGGAGATTTGGAGAAAGTCAATTTGAGGAGCACTTATAGAATCCTTCCCATGCATCGACCATACGAGGAAGCATTTTACCAGATTATTCTGCAAATGTTCAGCACCTCCAAAATCTCCTGCAGCTTCTGAATTTGGAAGCTCTTCCGAGGGGAAAGGCTCCCTACACTGAGCTCTGAGCCACCGTATGCTGGAACTACGGTTAAATTCAAGCTTTTCGATGACTTAGAGAGTGACTTGGGTGAATAGAAAAGATCTAGAAATTTGTTTTTTAAATGTCGACATTCAACTTATTCGAGTTATGAAGCATAAGTGCAAAATCTTAGTTATTCCATAAGTATTGAAGTTCAGTTTACAAATCATATTGATGCATTTACAAGTCCAGCAGCTTCTATAATCTTAACCGTAAAGGGAAATTTGGTCACTTCAGTAAACTTGTCTTAAAAATTTCAAACTGTAAAAATAAATTTAATATATTCAATTTCTCTTTTAAGCTCCTTGTTTGACTGACTGACACACAATCCTAACTTCTTAAATGATATGGCAAGTCTAATACATTAAGTGTACATGGTCATTCTTTCTTTCAATTTTATCAAAACAAAACAGTTTACCTATTTCTCCTACTCCCTCCCCCATGCATGGTGATTCTTAGGTTCTATTAATGTTCTAATACAGTTTACAACCTGGTTAAAATTTCAGCTTAACAGTCATAATTGACACATTTTCCTACTGGAATTACAAGGTTAATCTTTAGACATCGGAATCTACCGGATTCTATTAAACATTTTAAGTTTTAATAGTACTTAATATCCCACTGATATATAAATTATTTCTAAAGCTCCTTAGGGTTTAAGATTCTTACTCCAAAGGGAAGCAGCTACGTCAAGCCACACAGTTTTGAGGTTCCTTCCCAAAGAAACGTGGGCAGTGTTGGGGGTTACCACCGCAGTGCACTGAAGTTCTGGTCAAATGTGACAGCCAAAGCTGCAGGTACTTGGGGCAGTTTTTCTCACCCTCTCGACTGCCACGTTGACCCACTATAACCATTTCTATTTCATGAACTGCAAAACTTAGAGAAGAGAGCAAGGAAGACTTACCCACAGCTTACCCTTAGCTTTATGACCTATCTTCACCTAATTTCCAAGATAAATTGGAACTGGTAATTCCCTCCCAGATGATCATACCACTAATTTGGCTTTGTATTTCCTTGGCTCTTACAATAATTTAGTAATTTCCATCCTGTTTCAAAGACAGTTTCCTCCTTTTCACTACCACCCCCGTTGACAGGACCACACAACTCTTACAAATACCAAAATAGCATTCAACTGCCCGCTGATGATGGCTCATGGCTCTCTTTGATTTTTCGGTCACGACTTCAGGATCATCCTTCTGATGACTAAGGGCCCTTGGCACTCAGAACTTTGGTTCTGATACAGGAAAAGCAGCCAGAGTGATGTGGCTTCAACTCAACACAACACGGACCAGCATCTTACCAAGAAGCAGATCAAGAGGCAACACAAAGTCAAGGTTCTGTATAGAAAGGACCAGAACAAGAGACAACGAGGCTGCCGCGGTACATTAACATCAGACCCAGCTTGTGGTCAGATGCAGATGCCAGGCACCCCAGATACAGCAGGAAACCTGCCAGAGATGGCCCAAGATCACGGGGGGCGGGGGGGGGCACGACTCTGCGCTGCCATGACCTCTACCTGTGGTGGAGACAGGATGCGCCTCCTCCACAGCCACAGTCGATAGTCTGGCAAAGGGTGTGCAACTGTGCCTAACGTGTGTTGTCCACTCTGAAGTGCTCGTCATCCTCAAGACTGCATTGAGAACCTTCTACAGGCGCAACACACACCAGACAGTCCCCACTGAAATGTGCAGTCGCCAGCCTGGTTCCACAAGACAACAGGCAGGTTAGGAAGCCTTTCTTTTAAAAAGGGGAGGATATGGGGTGCCCGGGTGGCCCAGTCGGCTAGGCATCTGCCTTCAGCCCAGATCATGATCCCAGGGTCCTGGGATCGAGTCCCGTGTTGGGCTCCCTGCTCAGCGGGGAGTCTGCTTCTCCCTCTGCCTCCCTCTCCCTCTGCTTAGACTCTCTCTCTCTGTCAAACAGATAAATAAAATCTTTTTTAAAAATAAATAAATAAAAGAAAATAACCCCCTGAGGAGTGCCTGGCTGGCTCAGTCAGTAGAGCATGTGACTCCTGAGGGTCTTCATCTTAAAAAATAAACTCCTCAGGTTTCCTGTCCTTTTTACAGTGTAACTATTCTTAATGTATTCACTAAGTGAATCTTTCCTCATCCACAAATAACAGCAATTTATGTGCATTATACAGGGGATTAATTAAGGTCCCTTGTGATGAGATCTTAAAAAAAACAAATTTATTTTTTAAATTTTCCTTTTAAGGACCTTTTTTTTTTTTCCCGACAATAGGCAGATTCTTTCTGCATCTTTAAGTTCCCATAAAGATAAATATTCTTCAATACCCACCTGTGGCAGGTTGGAAAACCGGGTCAGGTAGGACCAAGTTGGAGGGTGTTTACAAAGAGATACAGAGCTGCGGAATACGTGCTCGGCAGTACATGAGCCTGGACACGTCCGCGCGTGTTTACAACCCAAAGTTAACAGACAAAAGCCTCTCAACTGTTATTCAGATGTATCCAAAGAAAGGAAAAGCCAAAGGTGGAAGAGGAGAAAATGAGGGACCCCATTTACTGGTGAGGTTCTCCACACCTCGCTAGACTCCTCATAAACGTAAAGGCAACTTTGGCCAACTATTTAAAACCCTGGTGGAGTATCTGACCAGATATAATGAAAGCAACAATAACTCAAGAAAACTTCCTGAAAGAAGAGAGCTTATGAGAAAAGGCTGTTTAAGATTTCATGGTTAAGTTATCTCTCCCCCCACACGTGAGGCCCAAACTCAACCGTTGCAAGCTCTGCTGACGGAGCCAGCGAGCCACCCCAAGGCTTGTTCTTTAGTAGGCCACTTACACAAAAGAGAAGATTCTTTATTTCCTGATAATAGCTATGGGTAGGAGTAAAAACAAGGAAAATGAAGGCTATTTTACAGATGCAACTGAAATCTGCAAATATAAATAAACTGATGTGAAATTCAAAATAATTTAAAATGACTGCTCCACTCATGATTATCATGCCATCATCTAGACAAAACCTATGTATCCATATAGTACTTTAGCCTATTTGTCTATATGGTACCATTCACTATACATCCATATGATATTCACCTGAGAATATATTTTATATTGCTTTAGCATTTTCCAAAGACTAAAACTGACCCTTGAGAAAAATACATCTAATAAGCAGATTTCTTTTTGTGTGAGCACTATAAAGGTCCCGTTGACTGTGCAGAGTTAGTGCAGTTTTCCAAAAGTCCATTAACTTAATTCCCATAAAGCTGATTATGAGAAGAAGCTGGCTTAACATTTCCTGAGTTCCCACAATGAATGAGACTGGTTTCTTCTAGTAAACTTCAAAAAAAAAAAAAAGTATCTGTGCTGAACAATGTCACAGTTTAAGAGAAATGAAACTATTTCAATAAGACTGTTTGTACTTTAAAATATATGTCCCACACTGCACCTGAAACATAAAAGAGGACAGAAGCCATTTTATTTTGCAAATGCCTGACATTTCCAGCCAACACCCCCCCCACCCTATTTCTAGGCTTGCTGCCTGAGGAACAGCACAGGGAGCTCTGCGCCCCTTGCATTTCTATGCAGTGCACATTTTACAGAACAGAGTGACACGACCGCTGGTTGTATGGCATGTAAATTAAGCTCAACACGTGGGAAAGAGTGAACCCAAGGGCCACATGCGTGGGTCAGCCCATTACGTGTCCAGCTTTTGATCTGGGCTCAGGTCAAGATCTCAGGATCATGGGATCGAGACCCCGGGAGAGCTGCGGGGAATCTGCTTCTTCCTTTTCCCTCCGTCTGCCCCTCCACACAGTGTGTGTGTGTGTGTGTGTGTGTGTGTGTGCGTGCGCGCAAGCGCATGTCTCTTCGTGTGTGTCTCTCTCTCAAATAAATAAAATCTTCTTTAAAAAAATGAATTCAAGTCATGAAACTAAATAACTCATTTTAAGATATGCAAAGGCACTGCCTGGAAGGGTGACTGGCAAATAAAAATAAAATAGCATATACATACTGGGTATTCACAGTCCATATTCTCTGAATTGTATTAAAAATATCAGCTACGCTGACAAAAGCCTGAAATTTCTTTTCATCTTGAAAAGATGCCTTTACCTTGGAATGTTACCTAGCAATTTTTTCCTAATGGTTATGAGAAAAGGCCATTTTTAAGACTACCTCTTGACTAAGAAAAAGGAAAGGGAAAAGGTATTCAGAATTTTGGCCAGGGAGGTAACAGCCCAACATTTATATCAAGCCATTCCTATCCCGAGCCCATGGTCAAGCTTATGATTTGTGCAAGTTTTTTTTTTTTTTTTTTTTTTTGCAAGTTGTTTAACTGAGCTCTAGAAACAGAATATTTCTTGGGGGAGGGGGTGGAAGGAGATGGACAATGGCAGTGGATAACAGCTGCATAATAAAGCGATTTCCTGGTTTTTAATAATTTAATGTAGTAAGAGAAACTGGGTAGGTCCAATCAGACAGCACCACTCTGGGATGGGAGCATCCGAGCAGTCGCCTACATGGGCAAATACATGAGATGGTGGTTGTTTTTCCCAACTCCCTGAACACACATAACCACAGCATGGGATTCTTTTGGGAACCTGGATTTAAGTTAAAGGTTATATTTAGTCTCATTTTTTTAAAATGAGTGATCTGCCTCCGGTTTTTAAATAATCCGTCTTCATTTGAAAGCAAATGTCTTAACAAGAGGTATAATTGTTGTCATTATTTGAGAAAACTATGATGCTCAGCAGTGACTCTGTAGTAAACAGATTTCTATTAAAAAACACAAAATATTTACTGGCAGTGGAAAGTGGTTGCTGAGCTTACTATAGTAATTCATTTATTTCCTGTTTAAGAATCAGCTCTCTAACACCCTCACAAAAGCCACCTTAACCTTCAAGGATTACGATTTGAAGACATTCAAAGATGTAGGTAATCATTTGAAAATAATAAAAGGCACTGGTAATACAGACAGGATCTGCTCTTCAGCCACATGTTATCAGAAAGAGCTGGCTGCTGGATCGTCCACAAAACACCGTATCCTGAATTTTGAAAGAAATTGAAACATTCAGGGGAATGGACTGGCAGCAATTCCAGTAATAAACAAGAAGGGAAGGAAAGAGTAAATTTAAACATATTTCAATTTTGAGTTGATTTCACCCATCAGCTGACTTTCAGATAAACCT